GCTCCAGCGGACGAGTGAAAGCAAAGCTACTGTTTGAGATCTCAACACTCTCAGGCATCGATCCATCCAGCCTGCACAAAAATGAAATAATAAAACATCATAAATAATACAGTGTATAATACACCATACACACACATGCAGAGAAAGCAAACTTTATACATTGTTATTTCTGTTTTAGAAGGCATAGCTTTTAAAGCATGAATGAAAGTACCATCCATGACTTGTAATGATATATCACTGCTCTGTGGGTTCAGTTGGTCTGTTCGAACTATTAAATGATCACGACTACAATAACTTGACACTGTACTTCTATTGGTTGAGGGGAAAAGATTTCATCATGAACACAAAGTTTCAACATCAGGGCAAAAAAAAAGATGGAACAAAAATAGAAAATAAAGAGCTTGGCTGTCTAGATCTCTCTAGTACCATCAGCTGCAATGAGACCATATTTCTTGTTTTCAAAGCAAGATGATGACAAAGAGCTGCCAGTGCACCAGTGCTGCTCTGATGTGTGAACCGTTTGGAAAGTTTTATTTATAGCAGGGAATCTTCCCGATGGGTGCAGCAATGCATTTGACAGCTCCAGTGTCCGGGCTCCAAAGATATGCTGGAGGTAATTTATAGACATAGGCTTCTTTGACGCTTTATTTAGTAGTAGTAGTAGTATTTGCTATCACATTAGTTACTTAATAGGCATGTTCCCTTTGCCTGTTTGTTGTCAAGTGTTAATCAACAAAACAAACCGGTGGTAAATTCAGCCAAGTTCCAGTACACCCCAGTAAACTCAGAGTGAGATTTCACTTGAACACAAGATGAACTTGTCCAGGGTAAAAGGGCTTTTTTTTAGTGTTTTATATCATGTTATGCTATTTATCATTAACTGCTGCCAACCTGAAGAAAATATAAAATGATTCTCTCAGCTTTATGAATCAACAGCAATCTGAATGCACCCTCTTCTAATGACTGACTGCCCTCTAATAGCACAGAGAGCTGCAAAACATATAACAGTTGTGCCCTCCTAAGTTACAACAGAGCAAGCTGGCACAATGCAAGACATTCTGACAAAGTATATCAGCTTGTTTTGACATATTCTGTACTGAAAGGTGGAGTTTTAGGAGGTGACATCAGCACTAAGCAGTAGCTGAGAGTCTATGAAGGATGCAGGCCCTCTAAATTTAAATGAGTATATGGACAGTGTTCAAATACAGTATATGAAAATGTTGGTATAACAATAAAGAGTATCAGGTGGACTTCATCATCATCATCATCACAAAACTTTGCAGCATCTAAAGACTGTTTTCCATCCCAATCCGCCCACATACTGTATTTTACAGTATACAGTCAAGAAACACATGACAAGAAAATGAATTATTCAGACCCTGGAAACATTTGACTTTGTATTTCCAATGACTGGTTAGAGGTTTTCTGCTTCACCTGTATACAGTGAGGTTCTTTTAGAGCCAACACTGAGCCGTCAATAAACAACTTCACATTTTCTTGACCCACATACCAATTTTTGTCAGCTCCAGTTATGGATACCATTGGTGCAACTGTAAATCAAAATAAGACAAAAGGTTATGATGAAAGCATTTGTATTATTACTTACTTATTATTTATTACTTTCTTGAAATAGTAAGGGTCATGCTGACCACAGTTTATTTTTATTTTTTCAAAAGGTAAAAGACTAGGACTTACTAATCAGTCACTGTGATCAGCCTGATGACAAATAAGGAACAAAGTGTGCATTATAAGCACAGTAGCGTGTGATAACAAAAACAAAGGCTGTAGCAGAGTACAGGATTTTCTGATGAACATGAGTCAAGAGAATAAACAAATGATCCTGGGCTGGTGAAAAGTTAGAAAATAAGACTCAGGTAGACAGTAGATGCACTACAGCTAATAATCAACTCTACTGCTTTACCATGACAAAAAAGAAAAACAAAGAGGAAGGCACGGATACTTAAATGAAGAACCAGCACATGCCACCGTAATAAAGCATGGCAAACACTGATATCCAGGTTTTCATTTTGATTCCTCTGGAGGACAAACGAGGAACTTGTTACAGCACACAGGAAGATGCCTTGGCTCATCATGTCTACTGACCCTTTTCACACAGTTCAACGTTGGAACTGTGCTTCTTTTGCACTTAAAATCCCTCGTCTCTGCATTTGACATGATGTATTGAGCTGGACACCCTCTTTCTCCCTGTATTAACTTTGGTGTTTCTGTGTTTCAACCCACTGCCCCCCAGAACCCTCCCACTACTTCTGTTGTTGCTAAGGCCTGATCAATATTTCATAAAATACCTTCATTAGCCTGCACTCACACGGTCCAAACACACTAACCCTTAGTACTGCTCACCAAGTACGCATCAATAATTACAACATTAAAATCACTCGTAAATGGTCCCTTTATGGCTAAAAAAAAGGAAAGGCCGTGAGCAGGTTAATCATAAATCAAGCACAATGGGCTAATATCTATAAGATGTACTGTACGTTTTAGGGATCCACAATTAGAGCAATAATAAGCATTATTTTGTTACACATTGTGAGCTTGATCATTAACCCTGTTTTTTTTACAGGAACATTCATTTTGCTGGACATTCAGAATTAAATTAAAATTTAATTCAATGTCAGACATAACATTTCAGTGCACTGCATTTGACTGCTTCTTTATTCTTTCCTACTTCCTAAGCATATTGTATGACACTGTAGAACTGCACACAACTACAACTGCATTTGACTGCTTCTTTATTCTTTCCTACATATTGTATGTGTGGCTCTCAGCTCAAAGTCCATTCATTCCTTCTGAACACTTCACTTTAAAATGCCTCGTGAATACGTAAAATTTTGACTGATTTAATGTGTTTGTCAGCAGGATGGTGTGTGGTGAATCAAAACAAACCAGTTTCCATTTACAATATAATTTTATATTTTAAGAACTGTAAAGAATATGATACCCAGTGCAACAATGGGGCACGCATGTGTTTAATCATTTCTGGACAATCACACATACTTTTCTTATCTACAATAATACTTATGAGTCCAAATAAAATGTTATTGTTAAGTACTGCCTGTTTCTATTATACTGTATTACACTGGAAAAAATCAATTTTTTTCAGTGAAACATCTTCCTCTGTATCTAACAAACAGTCAATTTGGGCTGAAAATATTATACTTCTCCTAGTATGATACAGCAGCAAAGTGCTGTGAATCAATAGTTTTTGGACAACAGCCGAGGTCTATGGCACAAAGGGGCTGAGTGTGTCAGGCTCTGGCTACACAGTCAAGTAGAAGTAATAGGATCAGTTCATTGTTGGTTTTGGTTTTTTCAGAACATTTGTTGACAATAAATATCTCAATATCATATTTTTCAGATATTAGAAAAGATGGCACAACAATTAAGGAGATCTTATAAAACAACACTTACACTGAACATTGAGTGTGAAGGGTATGCGAAACTCTGTCTGGAGGGCTGGGTGGCGCACCACGCACATGAGTGTCTTCCCCTGGGCGTAGCTCTGCGGCTGCCATATGTAGTGCACATGTACAGTGGTGGTGCCATTGGGCTCATCCCGATTTTGCCTCTCACTTCGCCCATACAGCTCTGTTTCCCAGAAAACCTCAGCGGTGGGACGGCCACGCTCTGCTATACAGGTGGCCACCACAGACTCGTTGCCATCATCCAGCAGAGCTGTGGGGCCGGCGGACACGTACACCTTTGGCTCCACTGCGGAAAGGAGGGTGAAGAGACAGAGAAGGGAATGACAGAATGGAGACAATATTACAAAATGGATATTGATCATTTGTGCATGTATATAAATAAATAATGTCCATCATATAGTATATGGTTAGAAGGAAGTGGGCTCAGTATACTGCCAAAGAGCACAGATTGACTTCTTCCATTTCACATATTAATAATTCATGAACAATGCTCTTCAATCATATGGAGGCATCTCAGTGTAAAGTTTGGTGACTTTATCAAACATATAATGTGTTTGACAAAGGATAATGCACAACAGTAGCATCTATAGAGCTGAATATAGTAGTAAGGAAAAGAAGTGAACCCTTATTACCTGCATTTATTTATCATTTTTAAAATATGTGAAATCTACATCCAAGATACAAGTATGAGCAGACCACCTTTTTTAACAAATAACACATACATCCATGTATTGTTCTTGTCCATATTGATGAGATTATTCAAACATTCATAGCATAGTTTGGAAACAGTATGTGAGCCCTGAGGCTAATGACATTAACAAAAGCTAATAGCAAACCTGGAGTCCAATCAATGAAACAAAATTGGGGTGCGAGTCAGAGCTACTTTGATTTATAGAAAACAGTAAAAGAGTTTCACAAAAGCATCTGCTGATGTGAACCATGCCTTGCAAAAAAAAAAAGAGATGATGTCAGAAGACTTACAATCAAGAATTGCTAATTTGCATAAAGCTGGAAAGGGTTGCACAGTAATCTCAAAGATTTAAGATATTCATCAGTCCACAATTACACAAATAGTCTACAAATGGAAATGATTTAGTGCTATGGCTGCTCTCCCTAGAAATCGGTGCCCAGATAAGGGACAATGCAAAATGCTCAATGAGGTAAAACGGAGTAACAGCTAAAGGCTTAAACGAATCATTGGAGCTGGTTAACATCTAGGTTTATGAGTCTGCCAAACGCAAACCCTGCCATGGACACTATGCTTCATGCTACTGGGGTCCAAAAAGAAAATAAATAAATAAATCCTTGGCCCCATAGAGATGCTGTGGAATTACTTCGAGAGCCATGACTGAGCTAAAGCGGTGCAGTGAGGAAGAACTGTCAGGAACTTGTCTTCCAAAAAGAGGCTGTACCAGGTTTTAAAGGGGTTTGCTTACCTTTTCCACCAGCACTGTGAACATTTAATGGGTGTGATGATTAAAGACCCAAAACATTCTTCTTGTCTGTTATCTTAAGCACATTGTGCTTGTCTGTATTTGTGCCTTAGATGAAAATCAGATCACATTTTATGACTAGTGCAGAAAACAACATCATTCCAAAGGATTCACAGACTTTTTCTTGACACCAAGCCTGGAAGTTTAGACACACCAAGGGTTTGCTCAACAGAGAGCTAAAACAGATCCAAGCAAAAGGGACATGAACAGAATAATGCAACCCTCTACCTATTGTGTAAGCGCAGCAGAACAGTTTATCTTGTGCTTCAATTCCCTAAAATCAAAACAAACCTGTTTAATAATCGCAAACTGCCAGAAATGACACTTGTGGACATAGTGGAGGGGTAGTGAAGTAAACTGACACTAGATCACACCACCTCCTCCATCTCTGTCCCTCTCAGAAGAGCACTAACAGCTGTTCCACTTAATGCAATGGAGACAGCTTTAAAGGCGGCACGTGGGGGCACGCACCAGCCTAATTCACTTGACAAAGCAATCACCTTTAAGACATTTGCCACCCCCCTCCACACTAGCCAAGCAGAGTGTCTAACAACAAATTCAAAAACCTCCTGGCACCCCCATTTTCCAAAAATAACCCGGCGTCTCCAGTACCCAGTGCAGGGGCGGGAACGCCGTTCTCAGTCATCCATCTCACATCCTTCACTCACTTCTCTCTGCCCCTCCTCACAGGCCTCTGACTATAAACAGTAGTTGCTCTATGTTAGGAGGCGAGCTGGCTGACGCTTGAGAATAACTAAATCAGAGCGACGCGTTAATTTGGAGTTGATGTCAGGAAGGGAGGGGAACACTGGATGAGTGCAAATGCTTTAGAGGAAAGGGCAATGATTTTCTTTCACTGAACTGGCTGTATTGGCCCTTTCCTGCCCATATATGCACAGTGAACACTGGCGTGGGAGTGGGAACCCCTATAAACAAGGGTTTGAACTTGATGTTCAATGGACACATTTACAAAATGATTCAGCATACTTTTTCTTTTTTACTAGTTTTACTCTTTAAATCAGTCAGCAAGCTAAAACCCTAAATCAGAAAAAGTTGGGACCATATGGAAAATCAAAATTAAAACTGAAATAAGTGATTTGTAAATCACCTATGTCCTACTGCACACATTACCAAGGCATGGCTGTGGAGGAAAAGGGTGTGAGTGCTGGACTGGCCTGCCTGCAGTCCTGACCTGTCCCCAGTAGAGAATGTGTGGTGCATTTTGAAATGCAAAGTGCATCAACAATAACCCAGAACTGTTGCAACCTTAAGACTTGTTTGCAGGAAGAATGGGACAAATTTACGCCTTATACACTTCACTCCCTAAACCTGGTTTAAGTGTTGTGTAAAAGGAATGGCAACATCACACCGTGGTACATGCTCTACTGTACCAACTTTTTTTGGAATGTGTTGCAGGCATCAGAATTGAAATGAGTGTTTGAACAAAGAGTAAAACTGATGAAACATCACATCAAATAATGTGCTGCTGTATTGTTTTCAATGTAACACAGGGCACAGATGATTTACACATCACTACTTTCAGTTTTAATTTTGATTTTACATACCGTGCCAACCTTTTCTGATTTGGGGTTGTACTATAGTTTATAGCAATTCAGTAATCAGAAGCCATAGTCTCTGTTTTAGATTCTATGAAGCAAAAGATTCATGCTCAGTTTGTTGTGCAAATGAAGCCACTGCACATTGATATAATCAGTGAAACTGCAAATAAGCACAGACATTATACACTGGTAGTTATAACAGTGATAACAGAGCAAGCCAAGACATAAGATGTATATGCAGCTTGCATGTAAATTATAGTTTTATGATACTTTATATAATACAGAGAACAGGGGGAAATCCAGTCTTATTTCAAAAGACTGAAAGGAGGAATGAACCATTTTTCACAAGAGAAAAACTATGACAGTCTTCAGATTTTGGCTTCAATGAGTAAGCAACTTTAACCATCTCTCTGGGGGGCTGATCTCTCAGTTTATGACCAAGGAAAAAAATGGAGTGTATGGTTGGTAGATACACTTCAAATGCTTTGAGCCTAAGTAGTTGAAGAATTACCATCTACCTTGTGTGTCTATGTTTGAAAGGTCAATTGTTGTTCAGTAAATTTCCCATTGACCTGTCAGCAGTTTAAAACAAAGGGTCATTCTAATTCATTCATTATACGTCACATTTTCCTCCTCTGGTTCCTTCCTCTTACTTACTGGTGGGAACTTTT